GCACAGCTGACACTTGCAGCTCTTAGCCGCAGGTAAATTGCTTTTAAAGCCTCAAATATAATTCTCAGCAAATTGAATACCGCTGGGTAAAATGGTTTATTTTTATATATATATATATATATATTTTTTTTTTTTTTTTAATTTGTTTTTATGTTAATGATTGTAAATGCATTTCTTTGAAGCGTTGCAATTTTCTTTGTTTTCTATTTATTTATGTGCGTTCGACTTTTCAAATGCGCTTTTTTATGCTTGTCTCTGGGGAAGCCTGTGCATGTGTGTATTGTGCATGTGTGTGTGTGCGTGGCAGCAGTTCGATAAATTTCAATTGCTAACCCAATTAAAAAATGTTGTGCACTTTTAGGTGGCCGAAAAATAAAACAACAAGCCAAAAAGTAAAAAAAAAAAAAATTTAAAAGAAAATAAAAAAATATATGTATGAGAAAACAAGCAAAAAATATATATATATTTGCAATATATTTGTGCAGCTTAACAACAACAACGCGAACAGCGGCTCAAACCTATTTTAATTTATTTGCATTTTGTTGTTGTTGTTGTTGCTTTTGTTGTTGTCGCCATGACACATACGCACCATTGGCCCCGCCGGCTGTGCAAGGGTATTTATTTTGTGTTTTTTTTTTTTTGCTGTTCGCTGTTGTTTTTTTCCATTTATTTATTTTTTTATTGTTGTTGGTTTTTTTTCGCTGCAGACCCTACTACGCCCTGCCCTACGCCATATGGCCCCGTCGATATGCGCTATGCAATCAGTGCACCTATATATATATACATACATATATACTTAAATATATATATATATGCATATGTGTATGCATGTGTGTGTTTGTATATTATATAGCTGCGCCCCGATCCTGGGTGGCCAGGACTATCGCTTCGGCCCGTTTGCTTGCACGCAGTTTCGCATTTGGGCATCTCTTTTGCGTTTTGTTCATTTTTTGATGCTGGCGCTGCCGCCGTGGAGTTTGGGCGACGGCGAGGCCAATGTGCGTGTGCGGCGACTGTTGGAGCGGTACCGTTATATGTATTTTTATACATTTTATTTTTCATTCGCGCACGCACACAATAAAACGCATAAAAAACGAACGCAACAGGGACAAAAAAAAACACACACACAGAGCAGCAGCAGCAGCAGCAGCGCCAGAAAAACGAAGAAGAGGTAAATAATGTACAGCGCGGTGTTGGTGGCACGAGCGGGCGGAGGGCGGCGCGCTGGATGCAGGATGCAGCCTGACAGATAGGCAGCCAATGCGTTGCATACTTTTAGGCGCGGCGACAGCTCAGCAAGTGCGTGTGTGCATGTGTGTGTGTGTGTGAGTGTGCGTGTGTGCCTCATAGGGGCGGTGTCTGTTTTATTCATTTTTTGTGCGTTCCGCAGCAGCACCAGCAGCAACAACAACAACAACAACAACAACAACGACAATGGCAAACCGTTATTGCGCTGTGCTGGCACTTTTGACAACAACAACAATGTTAATGATAACAACAACAACAACAACAATCAACATAACAATAACAACAACAGCATATAATTGAAACGTTGGCGTCACCACAGCGCCGTCGACGTCTACGTCGACTGCAGCAGCGGCAGCAGGCAGCCTTTCGCTCTTTGTGCGTTTTTAAATTGCAACTGAAATATGCGTTAATTTATGTTGTGTTGTTAAGCCGCACACACACACACACACTCGCACACTGGCACACACCAAATGCTCAAACCACTCTCTCTCTCTCTTTGACGTTTTTTTGCCGCTCATTATCTGCCCACTCCCACTCCCCCACTCCTGCATGCCTGTACAATGCTATTTATTTTTAACCCCTGCTGCCTGGCACCCGTAGAGCCCTCTCTCTCTCTCTCTCTGTTACTCACTCACTCTATCTCTCTCAGTCGCCTGCCCCACTCCTATTTGACGGCCCCATCAATTGGTTTGTTTGCTTGGCTCGCCAACAGCCAAAGAATTACACAAAATACCATTCAGCTTCAAAACTATGCGATATCATCCAACCATCCGTTTGTCCGTCCTTTCAGCCATACATTTGATTGTTAATTTCTTTTCCTTTCATTCTTTTTTTTTCGTTAATTTTCGATTGTAATTTAAATGCAATTCACAATGAGATTGACAATGCGTTAATGATCATATTTGCTGCGGCTATCAATCGATCTTTGAGTCTGTCCGTGCGCAAAGAAAAATCCAAATAAATTCAAAACAGTATACGAAGAAATATATATTTTTTCTCTATGTCAGAAGAACGAAAAAAAAAACTTGAATTCTCAATAAAGTTCGATTTATTTTTGACTTTTTTCTTGAAAATATTTGGAAGTATTATAAGTATTATGGCGTACCCAAATGGGCAGAATAATCAGATAAAAAGCCCTTAAATGAGTTGCTGGAGTACCTCGTATAGCTTCTATAAACTTTATTAAATGTAAAAAAAAAAACACTTTTATTTAGCCAAAATAGTAATCTAATATTGCATTTCCTTTAATATATTGATAATAAAAAAATTACCAAATTACACTTTCTTTTTTAATTTTAAATTAAATATGGAAACAAGGTTTTCATATTATGTAAAAGCATACGCAAAAAATATAAATATTATAAATAAAAGAAATAAAATTAATAAAAAAATAAAATAAAACAAAGTTGATCATCTGGCAATCAGCTGACAAAATGAAAGATAATATTTTGGGTATTTATTATTTGTCTGCA